ATCAACAGCACCTACACAGAATGTATACATATAATCTACTTCTATTCTGATTAGTTATGTTCAGAATCTTTGAGGAGAACTGACTATGGTAGATTACTGTCCTACTCTAGGTTGTCTGTTAGGTGTTAGCAGTCTGTCAACCAGCTAATCAAAAATAAAAATAGACTGCTGTGAGCAGATGTATGCACAATGGGTAAAGTAGTGATGTTAAGTTGAGTTCACAATTGGAATCCCCTTCCCCTGTATCCAACGTACCTGTGAGCATCATCAAGCTGCGGTGTCTAAGGTGTGCAACCACGACCCACCCCTATGCCCAAGAAGTATGCTTATGACCAGCCTGCCCTTCGTTTACCTTCGCGTGCAACGAGCCTTATGTCTGACTGATCTGGCTGATCAAGAGGCAATTTAAGGACAGCCCCCGAGAGTCCTCAGTAATTCTTTAACATCGCAATCAGGACGACGATCACAGCCAGTGGACAGTTCAGACCCCAGCCAGAAATGTTTATAGACGCTCTGGGAGCGTCTACGTAGGACTGGTCAGTCCGCACACCCCTTCTATCAGTGCAGCAAAGAGCCTCAATGGGCAAAGCAGCATGGCCTGGGTGTACTAATACCCATGCGTTGGCATGGTGACCGTGACCCGTGCTTCGACCAGGGCCCTTCAGAGGCACCGCCCTCTCCTGCCAGATGCGCCACCGGGAAGAATGTTGTCTCTCAAGGTAGAGTGCACACTGCTACTCACCAAAGAGAGGACACTCAAGTTGGACTCACTTCCTCATAGTAAGAAGAAATTGAGAGGGTAGATAAGGAATGGGAACAACGTACCTGGAGATAGCTGCCCCCAACCACAAATTTCTCACCAATTGGGCCGACGTGCATTTCAATGACCGGTCAATAGCCTCGGTACCACCCACAGCGCAATGCAGTGCCACCTCAGCCAAAATGAGACGTCAGCATACTCTCATCATCATGCATACACCCGCTGTCGCCACAGCTCCCACGCTGTCGCCACAGCCTTCCAGCGGCCGGCCCCTCTACCTGGGCCCCGCTATCACAAACCAGCGCCAAAGTATCCTTACTGCACATGAAGCATCATCAGCGCACCAAGTAACAATGTCGTCGGTGCCAGGTAAGCGGCGATCACAATCCAGCTCCGATACCAAATTGCAAGGAATATGAGTGTGAATGATATACAGAAAACCAAGTTGCAAAATCGCACAGATGTCCAGGTAGTCGTATCCAAGCGGAGAGTACAAAATGCACCGAGAAACCATCCATATAGAGCAATACAATGAAGAAACGACCCAATGTTCAAGCCCCTAGGCCACACCAACACAGTATCCAAAGTCGCTCGTCTCTGGCGCCCAGCGCCCAACCTACTCTGCCCGACTATCCTACCTACAGCTGGTTCACTCAACAGGCTCACTTCGACTCTCGAAGACCAATGTACATGACTGTCAACTCCATAGCCGACCTCTGTTCATGCACCAGGTACGTATCTCGTCACCCTCGATCAGACGTTGATTACCCCACACTCGCCTCCTTACCTGAAGACCACCTGATCGCCCTCCTACCCCCTGGCGCCCAGCAGCCCGGCTATGGCTGCCTGCGCCCCGCTGCCCTGCAGCGGCCCACTTCACCACTACGCGCCCCGTCAGCGCCCTTGGCAGCAGCACAGCATCAAGCGAGAGCGCAGCAGCACTTCCGCATTGCCTGCAATGGCCAGAATGCCTGGCCTGGGCTGCCTCACTTCTTTTATGGAAGTGGCAGCCTCCTGGATGCTGCGTGTGGCCTGGCTGGAAGCTTCCAGTAGCTTCCAGTTGGGCCTGAGACCCTGCGCCCAGGCCCGATACCACAGTTGAGGGCCTGGGCCCTTTTTTCAGTTGGGCATGGCCTGAGTCTTCGGACTTGGGCTGTCTGCTGCATCTGTGCAGGGCTCCCAGGCAGGTGCGTCGGCGGTACTGCTTTTGCAAAGGTCGATAGCCTGCTTCCCAATGTATCGGCCCTGCTTTGTGTGTATATGCCCAGGCGCAACTGTCAAGGCCTGGGCCAACTGTATGACGCAGCTTTGTGAGGCTCACGCGTCTACCCAACCAACTGGCGTGCTGCGAGAGCCTGAATACCCACATATGGAAATGTCGAATTTTGCCTCTGACGAATATTCAGGCCCGCCTTCACTTAGGGCGGGCACTCGGCTTGCTGGGGGCCTTAGCCCAGATCATGTGATGTCTGATAGGGCCCCTTGAGGGCTTGTTCCTCGCACAAGCACTGAGGCTGAAAAATGTGTGCCCGTACTGTGCTTGAGTCCGTACTTAAACACCGGACTGAAGTACGGTCCTGAGAGCGAAAGTGAAAATGCCTCAGGGCCAGAACTGAAAATCGAAAGTCTGAGAGTGTGCGCCAGAATGCCGGATGGCGCCAAGTGTCCGAAATCCGAAAGTCGAAAAAGGAGGAATTTGAAAACGGGCGCCAGGATGCGGATGGCGCCAATTGTCCAAAATTGGAAAAGCAAAAACAAAGCAAAACAAAGCAAAAACAAAGCAAAACAAAACAAAAAAAGAAAATAAATACGGCGGGTGGTAATCCGCAGACCAGGCATCGAGCCCTGGTGGAGTCCGTAACAGCTGTCCCCCAACGAGGAGAAGAAAGCTTTGGAAAAAACTTAAAAATAAAACATAATAAAAAATACAAAGGCCATTTCCAAAACGTGCAAGGGGATTCGGTTTAGAGAACTGATCCTGAGCAAGCATCACGAGAAAGTTTCCCAGGCTTGATGGGAAGGAGCAACGGGAGATGATGTAAAGGAACACTCACTAGGAATAAAAGGGGCTAGCATGGAGTCAGGGCAAAAGTAAAGAGTGCTTCATGTCGGTTCAAGGTGAAAAGGCGGTCCAGCTTAGGCGGGTGTCGAAGAGTCTCTGGATGAGGGCTTAGGGTTTATAGGGTTTTAGAAACTGTATACAAATGGGAAGGTAAGGGGGGGCAAAGGGTTGTGGGTCTCATGGGTAGGTTTGGTAATATGGGGTATAAAGACTAGCTGGGTCACGGGACGAGCTCTTTCTAGGTGATATAGATCTATCTGACAGATCTGGCTACCGGATCTGAGAGGAAAGAGTAAGACACGGCAAGCTGACAGTCAATCCTCCAGCCAGGTGGAGCAATCAATGCTGTTCAGGGGTCCTTCGGCCAGACGGAAGGAAGCGTGGGTGCGTTTTTGTTGTGAACTCTATTCTGACTTACCAAGGAATAGGAACCGGACTGATGCTCCCCAGAATGGAAAGGAGCAAGGAGCATAAAAAAAAAAAAAAAGCCCCAAAGGCCATGCGTTCGATTTGAGCGACGACAGTACCATTCAGGCCCAACGGTCAGTCTAATGACCACAAACTGGCACAAAGTAGCAGGAGACCCCCTGAAAACTTTCCTGCATTTAAAACCCCACAAGACACAACATCAAATGCAACAAGGAAATGAAGCCTTCCAAGTTCAGAGTTCAAACAGAGAAGTTGAGAGAACCAAAACATTTCAGATGCATCCAAGAAGCATGAGCGAGTACGCCCTGGAAGGGCTCTGAAACATTTCACATCAGCCTATACACACGGGTAAAAGGGGTGAGGTCCCATAACCCTGATAGGCTGATAGTGATTTGTTGATAGTGGATTATGCAGATCAACAGTCAGAAACAGAGAATTTAGGAAAGGGGAGCGTTGGCCCAAGAACACGAAGCACCTTACAAAAGATGAGAATTACGTAGAGCAGTCCAGCGGAGATAATAATATCATCATATGATCATAATCATCATAATATTGGAATCAATCAGATAAATTCCTAATCGACGTCCAGGCAGATCAAAATATGATACCAAAAAAACCCAAATTGGAATGTGAACCGAAAAATCTCACGAGTCTCACTCTTCGAGCCTTTGATTTTAGAGAATTGCAAGGTACAACAATTGATACACAAATTTATCAACATTTGTATGATTCATGGGCCAGTACTGAGTTAATAGTTTTTCTTTGAAAAGAGTACCGAGATGGTCCTTTCAATCCGAACACAAAGCTGATGGCAGGTAAACCACTTCAACAAACTGTGCACCGATCGACCCTTTACAACAGGAAAGAAAAAAAAACGATTGATGAACTGCAAAAGCGCAAGGCTCCAGGCCTTGGCCCGGTCCAAGGTCCACCCGTGAAAGAGCCCGGCTGCCCTAAGTGAAGGCAGGCACGAGAAAATGTAGCCAGGCCCGAGAAGAGGCCAGCAGGGACATTTATCGGCCTGAGAACAGGCACCACCTCGTGTAACCAATGGGTAGGCCCTTCAGCTAGCTACAGAGAATGGGATCAGGACTCAGGTCCAGTAGAGAGCAGGCAATACAACTCATGGCAGCGCTTATGGGCACCAAGGCCGGAAGAGCAGTGCCCCGGAGAGAAACAGCAGCTGCCGTGGCTACTGGCTGGCGCCAGCCATATCTGAAAAACATTACAAGGCAGCAGGGTGGCAAAGTGCGGAAGAGGTGGGGAGGACAAGGAAGGCATTGGGGACTGGCAGGTCTTACCTGGTGTTGGCAAAGGAAGCCTGTCTGAGCAGAGTTTTCAAGCAGTATCCAGCGAGTGAAACATGGTCAGACAGTGAGGCTGTGGTAGGCTGGTGTGAGCAGAGGTGGTATGGAAGTAGAGAAGAGCGATCGCATCACAGGAGGACTGCTACATTGTTGATGGATTGATGATTGGAGCGAGAAGTCAGGCTTTGTTTAACACCATACTTCAGTACCTGCTTGATCCTAGCTGGCGTGGTCCTGGGTTTGGTATTCTGCTTTCCACTGAGGATGAGTTCTTCCGACTTCTTCTATGAGCTTTTGCGTTTTGAAAAATTTGTGTTCTTGTTGCACGGTTCCTTGCAAAAAAAAAAAAAAGGAGAGAAAAAGGCACAACTCGCTATATGCGTGACATGAATGAAGGGGGCAAGGGGAAGACGAGAAAGAATTTTAAAGAATGCAAAAGTACCGACAGCTGAATGCTCGCTGCACTGCAACGGTGCTTCTCCCAAAGTGGCGATCCGTGTCCATGTCTTGCGCACAATATTGTACCTGTTCTTATTAAGGAAAAAAAAGAAAACTCATTGAGAAGAAACTTCAAAAAAGGCAAAAAAGTTCAAATTACACAACAAAGTCTCTTGTATGTGCAATGGCAGCTATGGCCACCTTCCCTCCCCCCCCATCAAGGCTACTTGAGCTCTCTCTCTCCCCCTGCCGAGATCGTTTTTTCCCTCTCTGAATGTCTTCTGTTTCTCTCTCTCTCTCTCTCTCTCTCTCTCTCTCTCTCTCTCTCTCTCTCTCTCTCTCTC